TAATGAGGGCTTTTCTTCTCCCCTGAATGCTCAAAAATCTTGTTAAAAGCTCTACCCAGATCAGGCAGGTTTTGCAAACAGGGCTGTTTGGGAGACACAAGCAATTGGCACATGCCATCCAGGGAATTCCTGTTTGTATGACTTGAATTAGCCGAGTAGAAACATGTCTGGGGACACATGTAGGGAAGGGTGGAGCAGGCTTTCAGTAAAGTGTCTGCAGTTACTGTTACTTACAGGGAATTTGGAGGTAAAGGGTTGTGACTACAACACAAGTCTCTCAGGACAGGGCAAACTATGCTTGTTTTGATAAAGTAGCTAATGGTAAGGCTGCCGCCACAAGTGTTTACACCACTAATAAGAAAATACATTTGGAGGTTTCTTTGACTTAATTACTTTTTCTCACAAGCACAAAAACAACACTTCTACGTGGTTTAACAGTTCCAAAAATGGTGGGTTCTTTCCTAGGATTTTGACTGGCGTCGCTGGAACCTGCCGTGGTTACTACCTTTCACGCCAGGCAGGTTGGTTGGTAATGGTGTCTGTGGCTTAATGGGTAGTTTTAAACAAACCTTTCTCAGCGCTACAGGGCAGAGGTTCTCAGCTGGGCTACACCTGGTGCTCCCACCCTGTGCAACTTGCATCAGGTTGCTTCCTGCCAAGATTTCATTACCGTACTCCCAGATCCTGTTACCTACTGATTAGTGTAACATCAGGGCCAACCCATCTCTGTTGATCCTGGCATAAAGCACCCTGCGATTGGGTTCCATGTTACTCTTTGTTGCCACTAAACTTTCCCATTGAGCAGGCCGCAAACAAGCGGAGTAGTTCGACCTCCAAGCAATAGAGATATTTAACCTGGGAAGTTATTTTGACACCGCAAGCCCTACATCAGACCCGTGTGATCGTAGTACACAAAAGGGCACATAGGTGGGTAGATTTGGAGTGGCCTGGGTGGCCCAGGGAACGTGACTGTGCGATAAGGCTTTGGTAGGTGCCACTCTCAGAGTCAGAGCAGTCTGAAAGAATCAGCATTTCATCTCTCACGTCCAATTCCCCCAAACAGCATCAAGGCGGTGCAGCAGACAAGTGTGTTTTCCCAAACATTTCTAATCCTATTACCCAAGCTGGCAAATGGAAAATTTGTTTGACAGGGAATAGCAAATTTTCGGGAGCGGCTGCCAGAACCACCGCCGCTGCTGCTGGTACTTATGAATTCATAATCTTGGGCTGCTAGAGGGTACATACAATAATGTAAACCAAATGTGTACACCACAGTCTGACAGCGGGAAGGGGTGGAGTGACCCTTTTAACTCATGAACAAACATTATACCAGCATGTTTGGTCCTGTCAGATAACCCTGCCTACCTGTATACAATAGGACCCATGGATATATATGACCATTGGAAAAATATTTGCCCTGACCACACTGTGCTGCTTTGTTTCCTCTCCATTCATCGGTTAATCAAGGCTATTTCCATATTGACTCTGAAACAAAGTTTTGATAGTATATTAGTCCCTTCAATAGCTGAATGGTAACCACCCCGTTCTTTTATCAGTCAGTTCATTAAGTGGAGGGTCCAGATTAGCGTGCCAACTGTAGGAGACGGGAGGCTGTGGCAACAACAGTCTCGCTATACTGTAAGAAGGCTGGTTACGTTTTGTTGGTAGTCGAATGTGACGTTACTTTCAGTCTAAGTGGAAGACAAGTCACCTCTCTGAGTGTGGAGCAAAAGATTCAAAGTTTTTCAAACATTCTGAACTTTAAACATGCACCTAACTTCGACAGGTTTGCTTCTGATTAAATAGGGTGGGTTTTTTTGCAGTTCAAAATTTCCCCAAAACATAAACACAATCATAATAAAAGAAACACTAAAAAAACTCCAAACAGGTAACTTATATGTATTTTCTACATGTCTTCTGAAAAAAAGAATGGCCATGTTGCATCACTTAAAGTTGGTAAAGAATATCTTTAGGGTCTTGAAAATGTCAATACATGTCTTAATATACATTGTACCAGATATCAACATCACTTTGTTGAATGCAAAACCTTGCAAGTTTTGAAGACGGAGACATTTTCTAAAGTTCATACACAACCACCCAGTCAAGTAAAACTATAGAATATAGGACCATCACCATAAACCCATTATGACAGTTCATTGAAGAGGTGACAAATAATGAGCAGTCCAAACTGACAGTATCTTTAGAATCTACTATACTGTACTCAAAAGAAGGGGCCCTTCCCCTGTTTTCCCCCACTCCTGTACTGGCCCCCTCCCCCCACCTGGCTTGGAAACAGAGATCAGCTGTGGGACTTTGCAGAGGAATGCAACAGGGTTCAAAAGGACAGCGAGCGGATCGTCTTTCAGCCATCTCCATACCCAAAATCCCTCCACAAGCACAGGTGGCCTGTTTACACCATTCTCCGCAGTCCTGATGTCCAGCCACACTGCTGCTGGACACTAGCTTGTCTGTACCGCAACTCAACAACATCTTTTTCCTTCTCGCCAAAAGATTCTAAAAAACACAACTTGCTGTTTTGTTTTTCAACAGTGACCTGCTATCTTGTTTTTGTCTGTTAAATGCTCTGACAATCTCGTGTTTACACAGAGTGTTTATCAAATAATTTCCAAGAAACTAGCAACATAATAGTGCCCTCCAGACACACAGGAAGTTTCGGAACTGCAAAATCCAACTTGTTTTAGTGAAACTGTCACCAGTTTTCCTCTAGAAAACAGCTGTAGATTTTCTTGTTTACAAGAATACTTTCCAAGAAGTCCTGAGTAAAGACTGAGGTTCTCACCGAAACTGATATTCACTTCCTTTTACTGACTGGTATTATTATATCAGAGCAGACAGTAGACAACATATACACACATTCCTAGGCAAACTTGTTTCTCCCTAACACACTTAATTGTGAGGCAAGAAACTTTGTTTGTTCAATGTTAACTATCATTACGTAATTTTCCAGACAAAATGATATACAGCAAATATTTAAGATGACAACACTGAGATTGATTGGGAAAAGAGAAGTGCTTTTTCTCCTGTAAACTATCTATCTTCTTCTTGTTATCCTCTTGCTATCCTTGAAATTAATCAACAGCTTAGCAAAGAGCAAATGATGAAAGTTCGAAAAATGCAAGATATTCTGAATTTCTTGGCTCCTTTCCTCCTAACACCAGGACCAGCCTCCAACCCTCCAATCATCATTACAGTAAGCTACCAAGCAAGGGGAACAGTAATGATTTACGAGCATGAAATCAGAAAGCAGGCAACCTTTCAGGAAATGAAAAACGACTTCATCTTGCAGGCCCGATCTCCTTATAACCAAGCCATTACTGCCCCCTGCCTCCTGTGAGGAAGTTGGGCACCTCAACCCAGCAGGAAGAAACTGTTATGAAATTGTCAGGAAGCCAGACAAGTTGATGTTGCCTCAAACTACATATGACACCTCTCAACAATGATTGTCTCCCCATTCCTTCATCCCTGGGGTGGAGGCAGACAGAATGTTTGTTGCTGTAATTATTTGGCGGGGCAAGTGTCGCATGATGCTATCTGACAACAAGGCTTAACAACACACTTCAGGTGAACATGACTGCCGATACTTGTGTCTTTCAGAGGGGAAACGTAAGCATAGGAATTGGATGTCAAGTCATTCCCTAGCTTAGAAGTATGATGTTAAATATGACAGCTGACAGAGTAGGCACATTGCTATCACAACAGAGCTAGAGAAGCAAAAAGCTGTGGCACATATTACAGCAACAACATAAAATTACTAACACTTCTGTCATAATGCCCACTGAAAACACAAGCCACTCACAGCTTTCCCAAAAAGGTAGGAAGTATTGCCCATGATTAGATTAAGTTTTCAACAGCAAAGAGCATTCTAGCAATTTAGATATTTTGCATATCTGACAGATGATGGGTAAAATAATCAAGTCTCATAGTCGGACATGATGAGTTTGGCGGGACATGGTCTAACCGTAACCACTTATAACCAGATACTTTCAAAGCTCATTCAAGTGACATCAAATATATATAGTTACCGCATGTAACATATCATAAGAAAGCAAACCATTGGCAGTAGGAGGTAAACCATACAAGGAACAGCAGTTTCAACATTGCATTTGTAGACAGGAAAGACCCCTGGAAAGTTTGGTTTACATGCTGTCACACTATTCCAAAACGAGCCTGTACTGTTTCGATTACAATGTTTTGAAGAAACCTTTCCTTACAACCAGACATAGATCTATTTGCAGATTAAGTAAGAGACAATGATACTGAAGTTAATGTCGAAAGGAAAACTAGAGTCGCATTACAAACTCCTTCTTTCAGACAGCTTCTCCACTTCCCTGTTACCTATCCTTGTGATCCCTATGGGATCATCCCTTTAAGCAGCAGAATATGTGCAACCCATTCATGAACAACATATCTGCCAGAGTTACCTCTTCCCAATTAACCATCCTAATTAACAGAAGTAAGGACTGTTCCCAGACATGGCAAGCATGAAAGAACCACCTCAAATAATTGAGACTTGTCAGTCTTACAGGCAGAGCAGCCTTCTGTGGTACCTTGGGGACAGGAGTGACATCAAAGCAGACAACCTAACAAGGAGCATCCTGAGACAAACAGAACAGTTTAACTACTTGCCAAGAAAATAATAGGCTCCAGCTAACACAGGAACAGGTAAAATCCAGAGGGTGGCAATTCCCAGTGCCAAAAGCAGGGGAGCTATAATCCTATAGGTAGCATATCAAGCCACAAAATGACATTTGTTGGCAGCAACGTATCTTATATAGGGTCAGCATTACTGAAAATCTCTACCTCCTTATCTAATTCCTAATTGATTACTCTGAACAGACAGTAACACAGTATATATACTACTTTGCAAAAAGGGCAGGATGTATTGATTGAACTAGATGTTGAAAATTTTGCAATACTAGTACTAAGTTGGTCAAAACCTTACGAAACAGGTGCAAAATTGTCAAATGATATATTCTTACCAGTTGTTGACTTGCAATATCGTGAGTCCTGTGTCCTGTGCTAGCTGCTTCTTTTGCTCTTCTGAGGGATATGGATGCTGTGAAGAAGAGAAAATAAAGTTTTAATTTTTGTGACTGGAGGTGAGGACATGAATAACATTTGTAACAAATCTAGGATTTGTGGTAGAAGATTCAGGTAAAGGTTCTTCCTTGGAGCCATTTGAGGCCATTTCATTTCTTCTGAAAAAATTGGATCAAGCAGTGGCTTGTTGTATCACTGTAGTTACCCAAATGGAGACAAAAATAATTCAGTAAGTAGTAAAGGGTCTTTAGTGTTGAAACTCACTGTTGACAATACTTCATCCCACCCCTCTAGGCTAAGATATAAACCATATTCCTGTATCTTACAAATCATACTTGTATGGGGAGCAAAAGATCCCTGTATAACAAAATCCTGGATAACAGGCAAGTCACAAGAACCGATACTCTAAAGCGGAAGTTATGTAACATGTTGAAGGTAAGTGTTGACTTGCTCTCCAAAGGGTAGATATAATGCACTGAAGACAGTGAAGTGGTTATTTACCAGCCAGTTGGTACAACTTAAAATGCAAGATACATGTGTCCTCAGATCACCCATGATATCATACATAACTTTGAACACCTGTAATGAGTAGCTTCTGAGGAATTAGAATTTTAAAAAATCAGTCCGAGGTAGCTATTTTTGATATCATTTTGAGGAAAACACTTTGAAAAGACTGTCAATTTTTCTTTATTCTCACTCAGAATAAATTTAGTAACAGTTTAGTCCAAACCCAATTTATTATGTCTTACGTTGGACTATAAGCTAAATGGAACCAAAAATCTCTCAAAGATAACTCCTATTATTTCGAGGAAGGCACTTTAAAAGACTTTTCCGTTTCTTCATTTTCAGAACAAATTTATGAACAATTTAGTCCAAACCCTATCTTTCACTGGACTATCAGATTGTTCAAGTTCAACACAAGGTACAAAAAAAATCACTTAAAGATATCTCATCTTACTATTACACTTTGAGGAAGGCAATTTATTAGCAATTTAGTATAAATCCCATCATGTCTTTCATTGGACTATCTGATTGTTCAAGTTCAACACAAGGTAAACCGAACAAAAAAATCACACATATTTACAGATGCATCGATCTTGGCCTTGTGTTCGTGTCATGACAGCTGCTGCTTCAGCCAATTTCAAAACCAAGGCGGACATTCCGCAACAAAGCCAAATGAAAAACTGTTAATTCCATTAATCAAACTTCTTTATCCCGGGTCCCTTTTTTTATGCACAAGTTTGCTCTTCACTTACGTCAAACCACCCCCAGGAAGGTTTACACATGGTCAACACGGTGAGCCAATATTGGGCACTTATTTGTGTCTCGTTCTCCTAGCCCTGCAGACTCTGCTCAAACTTTCCACCTTGTGTGCTGCAAGTTGGCCTGACGCTAGAGCTAACAAGCGGGTGAATGGGAGGGGGAGACAGGGCCTTTTGATGTGTGTTAAAACTTTAGAGAAGCATGCCAGCTATGGTAATGGTGCACAGACCTCAGCTTTTGATCTCTGGGGTCAGCAAGTCAAATGCATACTTGGAATGTACGGAAAAACTTTATAGGAAGTCCTGTCAGAGATGTCTGTTGATTTTTTTTTGCAGTTTCAGCTGGAAAGGCACTGACTAGATTCTTCACAGAATATCAAAATAAGTCATAAAGACACTTGAAATTATACAGTTCCTGAGGATCATCAATGATCAAGATTTGAATCTTCCACTGTGTGCATATCGTCTATCAGATTGTATCATGATAGAGTTGGTTTTAAGTACTTTCCTTGTTTTCTGTGCTAACCCATCTCTTGAAACTGGCTACTTTAAACACTCTCTGTTTGTGTTGTTTTAACTCAAGTTTCCCCTCATTTCACTAATCAGGAGTTTGTCTAACTTGGAGGAGCCAGGAAAAGGCTTAGCTGTATGGGCTTGGTCATGCTTGGGCGAAATTGGGCGGGTTTTTATCTCCTGGGCAAATCAGGGCTGCTAGATGGCAGTCTTCCTGCTTGAGGGCACAGGGTGTGCCATTGTTTTGAAAGGAACTTGTTTCAATCTGAGAAAAGTTTTGAGTTTCATTTTAATGACCCTTGCATCTCCTCTGTTGATAAGAGGGGGTCGGTTTGGGTCTCTGGAGTCCCAGCCTTTCCCAACACAGCCAGCACAGCTGTGTGATAAGCCTGGGCCCAGCAACAGGGTAGGTCCAAATGTGGTCTCCAAGGAGCCAACTGAACCTCTTTTGGAGGGGCTTGGCAGGCCCCAAGCTTCTGCTTTACATTCCAATGCAGGGGTCATCTGCCGGTCACAGGGAGCTGGGGCCCCATTGTTATTGTGATCGTAATGGGCAATTTCATCTCTATGCCCACCCTTCAAGAAAAACAGTCCCCCTTTTGAAAGGGCCTGCTTGAATTTCTGCCTCCCTTCAGGCTGAATACTTCAAGCGTTGGGGTCAGCAATCGGTCAAGCATCCGGGCTACTGGACTGGTACTGGACCAGTGGGGAGCATGCTCAAGCATCTCAACTATTCCGACAAGTTTATTTCCACACTCAACACCTAAAAACCCCCTGACACAAACCACTGGCTTCAACAGCCTTTCAACACAACTCTTGCTAATAAAGGTACAGTGGGAGACAGCCTACCCTTCACCAAGTCTTTCTGAGTGCCTCTACAGATGGGATGCTGAGCCCAGTTGGCCAAAAGTTAACTCTAAACCATCATGTCTGCCCCGCTAAGTGACCACCTCTCTTTCCCTGGTCTCCTCTTCCCCAGCACCAAGGCTTGAAACGTCTGTTGTCGGCACAGTTGACCCTCTGCATATACAAACGTCAAGCATTTCTCACATTTTCCAGATCGCCTGGGAGGGGAAAAGCTGTGCACCACAGGAAGCAGCTTGCAGCAGGCCCAGAGATGTATTGTGAACAGGATGCCTCTATACCCAGACCTTGGTGCCATGGCAGCCAACCATTGACCCAGGGATGCTACCATGTTCCGCCTCAAAAGTTTTATGGACTCTGTTCTCATCATCAGTGGCTCTTGGTACCTACTTGTGAAAACCACAAGCTGTATGGGGCCACACCTCACACTTATTGCTCCCACCTCCAACAATAGACAATGATTCTGGACCTGCATGTGTATTCTGTTCAGTCAGCCAAGCGAATACACTTCCCTACAAGTTGCTCTGTGTCCTCCAAGTGCTTTGGGCAGACACCCCTTTTCTTCGGCACACAGTGTATAGTTACGTCGACTATTAGTGCTAAATGGCCGATGCATTTTCTAATGGCTTGTTTGCTGGTTGACTGTTGGTTGGTTGATAATGTTGACTAGTAGGAAAGATCTAGCCAGAAGTCAGAATTACTTCCACTTCTTAGCTTAGGAATTGTGCATAAACTTAGGATACACTTTCATCTTAGCAAACTATGTGCATTGCATCTATCTGCTGAATCATCTTATGGGAAGAAATATTTATATCTTAGGGCAGGGAGAAGCCCAGACACACTAATCCCTGCAATTAATCATCCTGAGGTTTTAGAGCAGCCAAATTTCAAAGCAGAAAGGAGTCTGATTTTGGTCTCAAGGCCTCTTCAAAAAGCATCAAGCTTATTTTCCTTGTTTATTTCAGGGCTATGCAGATTAACCGGGATTTAGCACCTAATTGATAGATTATTATCATGGAGATAATCTCTGAGACTGGTTTTAGATGGAGCCTGGCCGGATTAAGTGCGGAGGGATCAGGTTGGTGTCATGAAAAGGTGAAACTTCCAGGGAGGTAGAGCCCCACTGGCTGTCCTCAACTCTGATGGAGGGTAGCTGTGTGCTTCAGGAGGGTGGGAAAACTCACTGCTTGCCTGCCTTGAGTCAATAAACACTGGGAGTAGTGACTGTCTCCCCCTGTCCCCCTGCTAGACATTAATAATAATGGGTCCATTTATCCCAAGCCTAGTGGCAGCTAGGAGGGAGTGTGCTAGTGTGCAGTGGCCACGTCGGTCCACACTTTGCCATGCGTCATTACCTCCCACCTTTCAGTGGCCCAGGCCAGTGGCCCGTCCCGAACTTGGCCTGGCATTTTTCTAGCTGCCCTCGCTGGTCTCAAGATTTTTAGCCCCTAAAACCCCTCCCCCTGCTGGATTAAGCAGGGAACAACTGGTGCATTGTGAATGCCTGTGTGACAGGGTATCCACCAATGTTGAAACCCTGGCAAATCCTGCTGATCATGACAAATCACCTGTGGGACTCTGGGAGCTGAGCTCACTCTGCCAGACCCAGCCCCAAATATGCCTGGCTAAGGCAATGAGGGCATGAGGCTCACCAAAGCTCTCTGGCCACTCTGTGTGTACCTGGTGATGCATAGTCCTAGGGGTAAGGGTCACCCCACCATTTTCATTAATATGATCAACTCCCCACACAGCAGTCTAATGAAAAAATAACAGCCATTTCTCCTGAAATGCTGTTCCAAACAAACAAATATTCTCCATAATATGTTTATTTAGATAGCAAATTGTTGTGGCAGCATCTAGTAGCAGCAGTATGGTGCCCCCCTCCCACCTTTGTACTTAATCTGGCACTCTTGTCTAAGCTAGAGCCTTGGGACTTTCCTGTAGTATTGTCACCTTTCTTTAATAAATAGCCATTTTTACCTTTGGCTGTTTATTTGTGGCCCATAAATATTTGTGCTACCAGCACTTTCCGAGCTAGGTTTTTGGCATGACGTGATGTCGCTCGCCCTAATGGACCATGGCTTCAGCGCTAACCAAACACCACAACTAGACAGAACCAAAGAACCGCCAAGGGCAGCAAAGCCGTTAGCTGTCTGGCCAGGGCCGCCATGTTGGCATCCCGGCCTGTCAGCTTGTATACAAGGCACCATCCATCATGGCCGACTCGGAGCCCCAGATGTCGCCCGAAAAGGGAAAACGCAAATCAAGGTCAACGCAGAAGCCTACCCTTACAAAATTCATGAAATCCACAATTTTTGGAACAAAAATCCGGCAAGGCCGAGACATCTACGAGGGGCCGTTGCTTCGGTTCTTGAAGAAATCCGCCAGTTTGTTCAGATAAAACCAGGCCTAATGGTGGCCATCATTTACCATTGACATGCACTTCTTTCGACCAGTCCATAAAAATGCAATACCTCATAAAGGTAAGGGGTTATGACTGTTTTGTCTGTCACTTGGCACATGGAGCAGAGCACGAGGATTTCCGTACAATGCAGCAGGATCTGTATAAATTCTTCATAAAGGCAGGAAAATTAACTTTCACTACCATGACCCATCGTTGTGTCCAAGTTGGCTCGTAACTCTTCTCGCATGTCTGGCTAGCAGTCTATACTACCTGTCTTTTTACTGCCATTTACTGTCCCCCAGTGTTAACCATATTCCCCAGTAATACTCTTCAACAGATCACGGTTTAGGCTGTCAGTTTTCATAGCTGCTATTTACTATTTACGGTGCTTTTACTGACTGTGATGTTAGCAGCGAATTCTGCTGGAAAACGGCAGCCCACGTGCACTATATAGTGCTGCGAGTGCAGGGAGAAGGGAAGCAAGGCATTCTGCCATGGCCACTACTTGTCTGACTTTCCGTTGAACATGATGATACGCTAATCACTTTGGAATGAATATCACACTAATTATAGGAGCTAAAGGGCCAAAAGCCAAGCCTGACTGAACAAAGGAAAGATGACAGACAACTTCTGCCTTGGGCCACCTGACATGTATGTAATTGTACAAGATAGCTCTGTAAACATAATTTTAAGGTACTGTTAATGTTACTTCATTGAATATGGAAATTTTCTCGAGAAATTGTAGAAAACACCAGAAGGTTTAAAACTGCTCAGAATTTTGGCATGTGCTCCGTGTCTTGAAGCATGCAACCTTTCACCGGAGATTTTTACGAAATGCCAAATTTGATTATGTATCCCGTCAGCGTATTGTTCTTCTCAATACAGACAGCTTCGGTCTTTGTTCGTTGATGTAATGTGCTGAACCAAGGTCTACAAAACAATAGGTCGTCAAAAGATACGTTGCATATCTTCTCTCTGTGGTGTAGCTAGTATCTCAAGATTATATTGGCTGAATTCCTGATATCTTCGGTCTTAGTATGTGACAAGGGTGTGTTTTCGTGATTGTTAACTGGTGCTGGCAGTAGTCTCTGTACTTTTATTCGATGATTCTTCTTGCTGTTCAAAGAACAGTTGGGAACTGTCTTATTTAGAGATAATAAACCATGGGACACTTCTGTTTGAACTCTGTTGACATCTCCTGACGTAAGACCATTCATCTTCCACTGCTCTACAGCTAAAGTTGACATTAAGTCTCCTCACAAGTATCCCACACAAACATGGTGGCCACGTCTTGTTTTTCTGCAGCAAAGCACAGGGTTAGCAACAAAGACAAATTCGCCATATTTCAATCAGCCGATTAAACAGACAGCCAGAGAGAGAGAGGGAAAAGTCTGGGGGAAATTTATGGTTACTTGTGGGGAAAATTAGCCTTGTCACTGGAAGGGGCTTAGACTGGAGACAGAAGTTCCGGCAGGCTGCAGTGTCATCCCCCTTTTGGGGTCCCTTCTTCTGTTGTAGCTCGGCAAACAGCACCCCAGGCTGTGTGCTCATTGTGCTAAGCATGAATGAGGAATGCGGGGATGGGGTCATGCAGAGGACAGCCGTAACGGCCGAGTAAATTTGGAAGCACAAACAAGTGCGACAGGTCTGACGAAAAACAAACCCACGCCAAAAGCTACTCAGCCCCTGCAATCTGAACCAAGGCACTGGCATCTTTCGATGGCTTGCCCTCCAAATGTGGCTGACAGGTGCAGCCCGACAGAAATGCTGTATGATTATCTTACTTGTCCGGCCAAGCAGAGGGCAAATACAGGTTATGGTGGCACCACACAGCCTTTTCTAAGTGACACCCTCTGACAGAATCATGCGCTGTTTTACGACAATGTCTTGTCAAAAACTGACACTGGCAAAAGATAGTTGTCATCGTCATCATTACACACGTCACTTGTGTCACTTTGGCAAAACATCTCCATATACCTTGCACTTTTGCCCCCAGTGGGCTGGCCTGTCCAGGCAATTTCAAGTATTTTGACAAATCAAGATTTATGGAGGGTCGCTTTTCTACCCTTAAGCAGTTATTGTGCTATATTTTATCGGGCTGCTCCAGCTGTTTCCTGCTAACTTAAACGTAAAATGTGCTACCCAAAAGAGCCGTAGCTACATTAGAACATATCATGCATAGCTGGCATGTTATGGCAGCCGACCTGTAAAAATTTCAAACAATTTAATGTGGGGACTGCCAATGTTAAGTATGGCGATCTTATTGCCCATAAACTCAGCTGGGGAAATCATAGACCCTTCAGTTCAGACAATCATGTGTTTTATTTACTGACATGTCGCATGATTGGAAATTACGATGACAAAATAACTGCACTGGAAACCTCAGACCGGCTTTGGCAGCCGCAGAAAAATTGCCCTGACAACTGCATATTTCATCATTTTTATAGAGGGCTGCCCCTGACACTTTCTTCTGTCAAGAAAAATTTATGGAAAAAAGGCAACCCACCACCCCAAAGGAAAAATTAGTGCCAACTGACCAATCCTTCTTGTTTATTGGTGGTCTGGAAGTGACAGGCCGTGGACAGTTGACCACATGACAGGCATGTCTGCCCAGACAGATTTGTGGTTGGTTTTTTAGAAGCAAAAGAACAGGAGGTCACCCCTTAGTGTGCTGGTAGTACAGAAGCGCTGGGACTCTCGATTTATTTTTTATCTGCTTGCTGTGTCGTAATTTTATTACGTACACAGAAAATTGCCTCTATTATAGCAGTAAAACTCTGTTTACTGGTGTCTGTTTGAGTGACACCCAGGCAGCAGATTTACTTCCTGGCTGTCACACAGTGGGCAGCGGGAGTAGCAGATTTGGGTTGGTTTACATCTCCCTGATTTACAGCCCCAGACCACAGTTCCAAAACCAAATAATTTCTTGCATAAACTGAGCAATAAATTCCTGATGGTCTGCAATAACAATACATTATGCTACACTGCGAAGGGCGTAAGGGAGGAGAGGAGTCATTTTAGCTGAAGAACTGAGCTCCGTGACTCAAAAGTAAAAGACTTAGTCAATCATTAATCTACTTCTTCTCCAGAATGGTGTCAAATTCAAACAAAACACTAGTTAAAGGGCTACTCTTTTTTTATTGTTAAGTATTAAAAATATACCACAGGGATTGAAATTTCTTTTGGGAAATTGTTCATTTTGTTTTCAGTTTGTCTGACGAAAAATAACAACAAAGAATCTGCACTTGTCACACAGGAGCAGCCAGTAGTACTAGTAGTATTTTGGTATGGCTGATCAGACAGGACGACAGGTAATAAATACTGGTAATGGCCAAAACAGCAGGATTTGGGGAAGCCCAAGATGGATAACTCTGGGGTCGCTACCTGTCGTGTGGAGATTGGACCCTCATCAGTCAGAGTAAGGATGTCACAAACATAGCTAAATCTGACAAATTGCCACTTTTCAAGTATTGTGCATATTTGTCATGAGTAGGTACCGCTCAGTAGGCAGGCTGGGGCCTTGGCACTATGGAGATTGTGATCCACACAAGCATCCATCACTTCCTCTTGGAAAAGAATGCATGAATGTTGGTGGTATACTGCAAGGCTTTACCGCGCATTCAAAACTTCAATAGCGCAGGAAATATATGATGTAGGTAATGTGGTCAGAATGTGTGCTGGGGGATCTGTTTCTTTCTTATACGCAGAATTCAATTTGTAACATTCTTCCTTCATTTCAAGCTTGCTGAGAAAAGACTGGATGCCGGAGGCATTATTTTCAGGGAAGAGAGAGTAATGACGGTGTACGGTGTAAGCTCCACATGACCTAGCTGTAACATCAAGTTGGTGGTTTTGTTTCTAAAGCCTCCCTCCAGAAAGATCAGTTTCCATGTTCGTAAAGACAACAACAGCGGAGCTGGTCTCTTCCAATATAAACCTGTCAGGAAATCCTCAAAGTCTTTCAGAGATCCAAGTATGCATATTTTTCCTGGGCCTGCGAAAGCCAACAATGAGTTCGTTTTTGCTCAGCTTTAGATTTGGTTAGACATCTAAGAAGTGCCAAGTCTCCAATTCACTATGGGGAGAGTGGGATTTATTTTCATACCACTTGGAGCAAAAATATTTTAACTTGGTGGGATTGGTGAAGCAAAACTTTCTTTCCTTGATACCCAGGCTTGCGATACTGGCACCGTGGCTCAAATGGGTTTTACCCTGCAGAGCTGTTCTAAGAATTTTTGGCATCGCTCTCATCTTATGGAGAGAGTTTTATTTATGGACCAATTTCCTTAAATCTGTAGGATTGCTGATGCCTTGCTGCGGGAGGTAAGATTGTGGTATTACCGTCCCCGTGCACCTGCAACGTGTTTCAAATTACCCAAATCCCCCCAAAACCCGAGGAAAAATTCACACCTACCGCAGGTACAAAAGAAGGAGAACTTACCGTTAAGTGTTGGAAAAGCCATGCCCTCATGATGTTTGTGGCGACTTTGGGAAAAATTCCCCGTTTCTTTTGTCTCTTCTTGTCTTTGTCGGAATCCCCCTCATCTCCCGTATTTTCGCCTGATCCTATGCTGTTATCAATACCCCCATCTGCAAGAGGGGAGAAGAAAAAGGGAGGAAGGGGTCAGTATATATCTCTACACGAGCAGTATGTGACCCCAACACCATCCATTCCCGCTCCCTCCCTCTAGGCTGTGTTGTTGTCAGTCCCGGGGCCAACAATACTCCGTCATTTATCACCCCACGCTGTAGAAGCGAGGGCCCCGAGCCACCGCCACCCTGCCCAACTGTCATCCCCACAAACTGCCCTCACAATCCGCTCCCAGTTTAAACGCAGTGCTGAAGGACAGTTTCTGTTTTATTGGGACATAATTCAGCTTACATTTTTCTCTCCACATTTGCGGCTATGGTATATAGCGCCGGGGTAGAAATGGTGATCGTATTGGCACAGTATATCCCATAATACTGTATCAAAATGGCGGCTGTCTTCATTCCAAGGGTCACAATCACACGAGCGGCTGAGGACAACGGACTTTGGCGTTTTCGCCGAATTTTACACATTCTCATGGCAACATTAATCTTCAGAACTGACAACTGTTAAGAATACCCCTTTCAGGCATGGTGTAGGGGCTTTAGAAAGCACGATTGTACAGTTGTTTGGGACAGAATCTTTTAATGGAAAACAACACAGTTTAGGCATACTGTCGCATGTACCCAGATATCTGCAAATGTAATATTGTATTTCGGGCTTGTGCCGAAAAGTGATATCGTAAAACACATTTCAGTAATTACTGGCACAGACACTGCTAGATTTTAGGTCTAGCCTCACCCGAGAGATACTGAAATGTCAGTATGAAAACAAGCGTTGTTGTGTAATGTTTTTTTCCATTATGATATAACCTTCCTGTACTGAGAGCTGACATAGATTTAAGCTACGTAAGTATCAATAATATATCCCTTCCAGCCTCTCCGCTGACCTTTCACTATATTTATACCTTCCCCTGACATGACAAATTTTCCCTGAATATATGACCAATTTTGTTTAGTCTGACAACGCACCTATTTATCTTATCCTCCCTAGCAACCGAGGGTTGACAAATGATTGGGGAGCATTTAGCTCAGGGCTTATAGCAGGAAACAGGGTGGTCTGTTGGACCTTTTTTTGTTATATTATCATAAAACAACCCTGGAGATATGTGAAGCCCTCCTGTGAAATAGCTGGGCCCAGCTTGAACTACACTCCTACAGTGCAGACTCCGGTGACATACGGGGTAAATGATGATTTGACTGTACACATAGTTGTTCGGTCATTTTTCTCCACCCTTTGGGTTGGTTGTATTGCTGGCTACAGCCTTGAACTTCAGCCTAGTTGGTTCCAACACCACGCACGAATGCATTTATGCACTCTCCATTTTACACTTATGTAGTACACACACACATACACCACGCACACACACACACAGTCAACACATGCAGAAGTAGCAGTCCCCTATCTTAAGTCTGAGGCTCACACCCTGGTCCTATCACTGCGAGCAGAATTAGGACCAGATTCCAGGGAATCTTGTCATGATTGCGGCAGCACAAAAAATAAATGTAAGGCCTGGTGGGCTGGTGAACTCTGCATGAACCCGGCTGGGGCTATTCCTGATGACCCCACCAAAAATAGTGCAAACCAAGATGAGTCCGAACCAGCTTGGTGTGAGAAGACTAAAACGTGTGTGTGGAATTCCGTGAATGTTTCGGCCCAAAACAGCACTGCCCGCACACTTACTTTCCTCGGGACACATTTCGTCAACACACACAAAAAAAGTAAAAAAGTCTATACCCCTAGACTAAAAAAAATCTCCCTCTTCCTGTCCTAGCAGTTCAATAGAAAAACATTTCGCTTTGGTGCTGGATGGTTTCCATCAAAGTGGCTTGTTGTGGGACTGCTCCGAGCTTGTGTCCAAACTGCCGAATTCTCTGTCAATAGAAACATTCTTCAAGCCCATTTTCTCCTCCTTCCAGATAAATAATATACATTAATAGAACGCTGCCTATCCCGATAATGCTTTCCATATTTCATTGCCTTTCTAATTCCCTCTCCATATGTGTCTCCTTTAGAGCCAGGCTGAAAGCCCCAAATCCTCCCAAGAATCCCTGTAACCTTTCCGAACCTATTAGAACATAATATAAGTACCTCTGTGCCGTTCCCTTTCTCCTCTATGAAACACCTCCTGAAGACAAATAGCGCAGTTGGCTAAATGTGGGCCTGTTTTATGGCAGATTAGGGTGGGCATTTTCGGGCAAATTTTGCCATTTGGCAAATGTGTTCCAGCAGTCGTGTCATTGACAGAAATGCTTGGCAATTTGGCATGACTTCTTCACAGTGACCCCAGAAAGCCGGCTTCACATAAACGAAAAATGTATCAAGAAATAGACTTTCCGGTAAACTAAATTTACATCGAACTATTCTTCATGCATTTACGCTGCCGTAGGAAACTTTCAAAGGGGACAAGGCTAATGACGGAACGGTATGGCCTCGGGCAGCCAGGACTCAGCCCATTACTGCGAAGCACATGTCAAAATAACAAGACCTTTTGCTTTTACACAGCACATAACATACACTCTAACACCCATGAAAACAGCTTAAATCCATGCCATCGACACTAGCCAGCAACATAAGCCAGTTAAGTTTTAGCAATAATTCTAACTTCCAACCATCCTGCAAATGCCCACATAAGCTGAATTATGCACCATGTTCTTCAAGTGGTGTCTTCTGTCTTGTTGTGCTGCAATAAAAATTGATTTCTGCTATTCCCATGCACCGCCGTCTCCCGCTGACTATCTTTTAAATGCGGAGGTGCATCAATGCCGCTTTTTCCACCGTCATATCCAGAGAACAAATTTCTTGTATCATTAATTTTTACAGTTTTGGCTCAATCTAATGGGGGGAAATGCCACCCTGTGTTGGCCACGCCATCCATTATTGTCACCGAGGCCCAACTCTCCCACACAAGATTTATGACTTCAAAATTACCTCAAATTTCAGACACATTTTGCGGTAAATATTTAATTCAAACATTTTTGATATAAAGTGTCCATATAGATTATTTATGGCCTGCCAAGATGACAAGGAAAGGGAAGAAATATTTCCATCTTTATTTGTCAATTCTGATAATATGGCGAGTCTGTCTGCCACGGGATATAAAGTGGGCTGCGATGGCTGTCTTCCGACTCCCGCCGTCTGATGGAATCTTGCGTTCGCCACGATATTTATTGCCCGCAATGTCCTTGCCCACTAAATATATTCAAGGGAGTATGCGCGACACAGGACAGCTTGTTCCTTCCCGCAATAATTGCAAAAGTTAATAAACTGAAGTTTATGGGGTGGCCGCTGCCATGATGGAGGCGAATGAGCTACGCTATAAAAATGTAATATTTAGATCCCGGCCGGTACGAGCTAATGCAACCGTCCGCCAAGCTGCCACCCCATGTGTCTTAATACAAAGCCAATCCCCGAAACTGTCCAGCAGGAGACGCAATGAAATGTTGCCCGGGATTAGTTTGCTCTTTCATTAACTAAGTTCATGAAAAAGAGTTAGGTGTTATTTTGTGCCTGATTATTCCAGGGATATTTGGGATATTATGCCCCTTTATTTCCCCAGTTTTCTATTAAGGATTAGCAGGGGAGTCATAAATCTTGCCTAGGCTGTCACGGCCGGCTAATAAAAATAATTGAAGGATATAGCTAAGTGTTTCCTATTATTACCTTATAGTTATTTTTTGTCATTCTGGCTGGAGATATTTCTTGGTGCAGTATTGCCAGATGATTAATGTTTGCACTGGGAGCTCTAAACCCATCATAGCCAGAATTAATGTCACAAATGAACCAAGATGAAATCTGTACTCAGAATTATCGCTCAAAAATATTAGTTCCCACACAATGGCGGGAATGAGGGGGAATTTTAATTGAATTCTCCGTGTTTTCCCAAAGTCACATTCCGGGCCCAGCATCCCAGGGATTTCAGGAATTATGTTTTGTGTGTGGAATATCGGTGTAACCTGCACCGAAAGTAGAAAGCAACGACTATGTGCGCCGAATCCGAGATTCGCGATAAGAAGTGACGAATTTCCCTTGTGATGTAGATAGATGTGAATGGTGGTGGAGTGCAGTGTAAGGCCCATCTACCACCGCAGAACAACCTATCCAACAAATGCCCTCCAACAAGACCAAACCAAAATGATTCCCCATAAAGACCGACTGGAGAATTTCCCATTATTACTTTCCTCCTGATAAGGGAAACCCTCCAAATAAAAGATAATGAACCGCTAAAATTGCCGCCAGGAAGCAAGGCCCCAAAATAAATTAGAACAGGTAACAAGGGGGAAGTACGGCAAACACAGGCAAACCACAGATAGGGAGAGATAAATACAATTTCAAAGAAAGAAGAGGCAACATAACCCTAACTGCTTTACTGCTGTAAGTAGCAAAGTGGAAGAAGTAAGCCAGTTCACTGCACACAGATTTCAGTCATTAGAACGAAACGAAACGTTGGTGGAATGAAATTGTCACCTTTTCCAAGGACATTACATAGCTTTTCTGAAAATATTTGCTGAGCAATACTGATAAGACAGCATGTTTGCTCAGAAGCATGCAATCAGTAGTAGCATTACCTTTTTCAGTGTTTTTTTTTCTCTGGTATAACAGCAGCAGAGCTTTACAAAATACAAGGTGTTCTTGATACCAATATTCGAGGTTTTCATTGTTACTTTGCAAACATTATATTACAAATTAATGGGTATTTGTTACATAAAAATGTCAGGAAAATAGAAAAGGTAATACAACAGGCAATGACAAAAAAATCATCCCAGATTAACTGAATAAAAAATTATTTTTACGGCTTTGGCGTACGGACATTTCATTTACGTAAATCTTGAGTAAATCAAATCCACTGGACACCAGACAAACAAAAATTTGAAAAACGAGACAAAAAGTGACAGTTTTACACACTCTGCATCGGACTGTATAAAACTGTGGTACCCACAGACACATGGAGTGTGTTGTTAAGGAAATGACAAGTGCTCTGCCCATGTTTTGTGGCAGATTCTTGTCTTGCTGAGGAGACAGACACAGTTCTGTTGACTTCTCTGGAGGACCATAAACTGGAAAAGTCCATAAAATCCACAGGGAGCCAGTAGTACTGTTGTCAACCCAGGCGGAGCTTTACTCATGCTGAAATAATCCCATCGTGTCAAGGTGTGAAAACTTGTGTAATATGTTCACTTTTTCCCCCAATTCACATGGGTGCGATGACCAGTTAACAGGATTAGTAGCCCCGTCCTAATGGCTGCTTTGGTGTCTAACACCGTTGCCCTGCCCTCCTCGCCTGTGCACCCCATTGTACAACACCCTGTAGAACAAGTCAGGCAAAACGAAACATGCCATTCAGTGAGCAGTGGGGGCAAGGAGTGAGTGAGCTTCACCTGGGCCAGAGAGGGTGAAATCATACTCCATTTCATGTTTGAATGAACACTCCAGCAGGACCCGATGTTTATTGTGTGGGCAACGCTACTGGTCTGAAGTGGCTGGGAACTTCCGTATGCCGCGACCTGAGACCTCTCGTGCCACGGACATAAGACGGAGCCGAAATCCCGTCCTCCAGTGGGCTGAGAAGTTGAAGAACCTCATTACTTTGTGTAATCCCTTTTCGCCGAATCAAGCTGGACAGGTTTACCATCGGAGTGATTTCCCCTTGTGCAACTGATATGGGGTCAAAAACAAACATTATTATTTCCTGCCAGGCAATCGAGAGGAAAAGACACGGCTCTTATCCCCACTTCTGGCCCAAAAGCGGATTTTGCCTTGCCCCAAGTGCCTGCCATGTTGCCCTACATTTTACCAGAGCAGAGGACCTGCTGTTTGTTTCCAAAGGGCTTGGGTCCTGAGCTCGCCAGATAAGGCACTTGGAACATGTGCTAATATTGCAGGGGGCGGAGCTTCAACAAGAAGAAAAATTACCTTCTTGACATTGATTAATCTGCTCTGAAGTACACAAAACATCAGCCCCACTGAGCCAATGAATTATTCACCACTCTCCAGCCTCATGCTTGCTTGGAAGTGTTCTGCCAGTGCCCAAAGGTGGGGTCGTGCCTCCCAGGGCAAAGGCAAGCCAAGGTGCTTTCTTTGTGGAGTAGATTAACCCAACAAGATCACAACAACATCAGGCCCGGCTACAAATTGAGGGCATCTTTTCCGTGCTCTTGCCCAGCGCCACCCTTAGACCCAGCTGGGAAGGACAAAATGTTAAACACTGTCACTTAGGTGTAACAGAACCCACCCTTATCTGCCGTTTCTATCTCTGGAAACTTTCAAGGCATCTTGAGTCATTTTTCTTGCCCTGGTGGAAAAGGGCAAACTGGGGGGAAGGAGGGTGCAGGGCCCGCCTGGCTCACAGCAATGATTAATGATTATCTGCTCTTAATCAGGCAGGGAAGGATAAGATTGGGGGATTTCTCCTCAATGCTGGGAATCTTTTCCGTTTCATTTTTGCAAAAGATAAGTGCCTAGAGTGCGAACAGCTGCAAATGAGAGTTCCTTTTGGGAGCCGTTGTGGGAATTCTGCAAACCTCTTCAAAATGAAGGCAGAAAGATGAATTGGGAAAAAGGATGAATGGGATGTTATTCTGCTAAACAATGGCACAGCCTACCATGTGGGATGGGTGCATTAGCTACTGAAAAAGATCTAATTTACGACAGGGGAAAGGCTTTATAAAAAAAATCACATCTTAAGCTAGTACGTTGAAATTAACTGAAAAGCAAATACACTAATGTATAAACTAGAAGGCTATGGAAGCAGGGAGGTGGGAGAGGGCAAAGTGTCTCACATGGGAGTTGGAAAATGGCCCCATACATCAAAATTTGTTCTGTCAGCAGACTCAACCCTGCCTGCCATTACCAAAATAATAGATAATGCATAAAATGAAACAGAAAAAACGAAAGCAACCCTTCCCCATGGTTACAACAAAAGCCAAAACCTACAAAAAATGTAGAAAACGTGAGAACTTTTTTGGGGACACAAGTGGATCATTTGGGAGAAGACTGCTGTATGCTTACCACCAGAAATGGTCCTGGAAGCATAAAGCTGGCTTAGAGGAAAGTGAAGATAGGATTAAAGCTCGACACAGGATGTTGTACGGGGAGAACACTCATCTCTATCTCTGGCCAGGCCCTTAACTATCCCCTGGAGGAGGAGATTTCAGGCAGTTCAAAAGTTCACCCCTCCCCTAGCACTTTTACTGCCGGCTGGTCAGCCTTAAAGATTGATACTACAATTTGTTCTAATGGCTGGCACTGAGGGCAGAGCAAATACAGAAGGTTTATCTCACTGGCTACTGCCTGTCCTGACGGCCAGGCCTGAAGATGGCTGCCCTAAATAGAGAAATTTATGGCCCCCTCATATTTTAAAGCTCCTGTCATTTCTGTCTAGCGGAATCCTGGGGAAGATATATTAGTGGAAGTCAAATTGGGACAGCCCAGTGATGTGACAGTGTTAACTGCTGTCGCGAGACCTCGCTGTCTAGCTGCCACACCACAAGTGATGGCTAGACAGGCCGACCAGTGACTACTTGTGTTGCCCGTGTCCCCGGTATCCCCACGCCCCGGTTCTCTGTTCGACACGTTCCCCCCAACATGGCGGACGGGGCGGTTTCCTTCGCCCATTCTCCCCCATTCGCATCATTAAAATGCAGTGCAGCTTCTCCCTGGGACCACAAAACCAATTTTACACACAAACCCCTGGTATAATGACCCCTACGCAAACCAGCTTAGGATGATAAATGACCGGCCATTTGGACAAGCCTTTGGCTGTGCCCCCTGACGCTAGCGAATTTCTCCCCTCCTTCTTTCTTCTCCCTGCAAAGGAGCAACCTTTGCTCAGACAGTTAGAAAACACGACCCGGCTTACTGAGCCACAACAGAGCTGTTGGCCAACAGAGCGGCTCACATTTTTTACAGATACGATTGTTTCGTTGGTAAATGATTAATAAACACAGTTTGCTTGAGAAATGACTGTACGGATAGTTTGATTGTCGACCTTACAGGCTATGGATATTTAATATCCTTCCACATAACCCACGAAAAATGAGGCGCCAAATGTGTGGACACAGCTCCGATTTTACTTTGCGAAACCGATTTGCATAATTGGACGAAATTTTAAAGATTAATCGGGCCTGGGATGGCAAAGGTCAGTGCAACGTAATACCGAAAAGCACAGTTTTTCATTATGCAGGCTGCTTGACGAATGTGTTTGGTTGTGAATCTCGACAACGGGCTCCGAACCGCCAGCCGCCATATTCCCAGCATGACGATAAACGGCGCTACTGTGTCGTGGAATTTGTTTCCGACCTCCTACATCAAACATAGTCTGCCCGATAAGTAATATTGTAGGAATACAGCTATTTGTTTGGGCTTACTTCTAACTAACTTGTCTCCCGGGGATTTCAAATTAGTACTGTAGCAGCTTTTGATAAAATTAATGTTTAGAGTCTGGGATAGTAACCAAATATGCTAGCTTGTTAGGCTCCGGGGCCAGAAAAATACAAGGTTCCGCAGCCAACTTTCCAGGATCAGGTTTACGCAAATAAATTTCAATTTGATTTAGACTAAGCTGTGATCTAATAGAGGAGGTTACAGCTTCATACTACACTAAGTTATCACCCCACAGACTGCAACCGTTCACACATCTTTTACAGGAAAACCTGCACAACAACTCACTCCGTATTTTACACAGCAGTAAAATTAGATAAATGTCTCTCCCTGACAGTATTACATATCAGGGTTATGGGGCTGTACTGCCACATTAGCTAGCTACACATTCCACTTGAGTTCTGTTGGAGGGAATAAGGTGTGAAATAGTGTAAAAACCTGCAGAGAGCTACAAATGTAACGGCCATGAAAAACCATGTTTATTGGCCTTGTTCTTGGCAAGTTTACAGGAGAACATTTCAACAGATCAACTGGGTTATAGATAAGAGTAATATTAAAAATATATTGCTATGATACATTTTCTTCAACTGTACATTAAATACTTGGAATTATAAGAACTTTTATCTTACACTAACTAAACACTACGAACAGCAAAGAGTTGGAAGCATAGCCTACAAGTGAATAAATATTAAAACATTTTCAAACCAGTTGTGCTTTAATAAGAAAGGCCTGCTTGAAATTTTATGTCGTGCAGCATCTTACGAAGGTGAAAATTTGGGGTGCATTTTGCTATGGGTGGTAGTTATTTACATTCACAGTGCAGTGTTCAAAATCAACAGAAACAAAAAGTGATACACTTTTTTCTTTATCTTTTCACTTTCCCAGTAAATGCTTTGCTAATCACACTTTTAGTAACATATGTCAAACAACGATTTGAAGCCTGTTCAGCCCTGTTAAGTTTGGACACTGCGCTGTGGTTAGAGTACACTGAAGTGTATGTGCAAACTTCTCTTTTTTCCGAACGTGGCACGGAGCTCAAAAGGAGCACATGTTCTGTAGCCGAACCCTTCTTGCGGTGACCCTCTTCACATTGAACAGCCTTGCGTCACCGACACGGAGATGTCGATTTTTCAACAAGCACGCCCGAAAAAATTTCACCTTTTGAACTCTTGTGTTTTCATGCCATGATTAGCAGACTTTTTTTGGACAAGTACTGCCACCCACAGGACCTAACTTTAGCACTTTCAAACAGGTCATATAAATTTTTGCTGATTACTTTCACTCGATTGATCAACTCAACTTTGTTTTTTGATCGTGCATCACCTAATTGGCTCAATAAATACAGCAACGGTCGTACTTACCTACACTTTGTCGACACAATCTTAACTGATGCAGGCCACAAGGACTATTTTGGAAAGGGTAAAACTTTCAAGTAGATTCCTATCAGCTAGAAGAGGGAAAAGTCCTACTCTGAGCAAACGAAGAGACGGTAAGGTGTGGTCTGTGCCGCTCCTATTTGCGTGCAGCGCAGCCTAGAATCGGGTACCTGTTTCACTGTTGTTGTCGCCACTCTGTGACGGCTGTGTTCCCAGTGGCCCCGGTGTACCGCCCGAGTTTGTGGACTGTGTGTCGTCGGCCCCACCGTACGAACCCGGCTGTTGGTGCGACTGCAAAAAAACACAGAAAACAAACCTGGAGTTAAAACCGTGTGCGGTCACGGAAAGGGGCGAGTTTTGTCCACATGCACAGGTCATGCTGAGAGAGTGCTAGTAGTATGAATGGGTTTACGCATACATAGAATACATGTTGTGAACTGGTACTACTAGCGGCAGGTTATTGACAAACTGTACTGTTTCATCTCACTTAGGATCTGCCTGCAGCACTAAGATGCCAGGGACTCAAGGAGAAATACTCAAAACAGCAAGGGTCAGACAGCCTAGGAAAGCCGCCTTCTCAGTTCAGCAGCGAGCTTTTCAACAGTCCATACAAACAACCGATGTTCCTAACAGCACATGTCAACATTTCTACAACTGGCACAGGGAGGCGTTGGCAGCCCGTTACATGTAACACACTGCCTGGCTTAAACACGGGCAGAACCAGAGTACAACACTACATCACGCCTCCTCATTCACCGGGACCTCACACACAACAGCAAAAGAAGATTATCAAGATGAAATTAGGAAATAAATGGTGAAACCCTATAGGGCTAAGGAAAATTAAATCAGGTAAAATATGAATAATCAGATTACCCAAAACAAGGAGAACACAGACAAAATAAAGGCAGCTACCATTTTGCAGTAATCAGGGCAGAAGGTATCGATGTTTCCCAATCGGTCCAGGGCCGAGAAAATTGTTCTCCAAGGAAGGATGATGAGTGAGAGAGGCGTCAGCTCCCGTGCGTACACTAGCAGGAGTGACTAGAGAGGCTGACGCGGTTTGCCTTTTATGTGTGAAGTGTGTAGAGGGTGGGCACCCCTGACGTTTCTGTCAGGTGCACATCAACGGCCCGTCACCGCCACATCAAGCACCTTTACACACACAATTTTGTCAGCCCTTCGCTCTGGCAAAACAATCCACCACAAATGATTGAACAAGGGAGGTCCCTGGCCAAATTTGCCCAGGGTAAGTACATGTGATGGAAGATAAATACACACTCATTCACACACAAAAAGTCAGATGGCATGGGCCAATCTAGGTGACATTTTGCCTAACCTGGGCAGTCACGGCTTGCACACCAAACTGGACATGCCCCTCTCAAAGGACACTAAACTCTAAAATCTCAGGAACAGATTGCAAAAGATCAGGAACGGAGGGCTCAGGACCTCGCAAAAGTAATTATTTTCTCAACAGCAGACTTTTCCAAGCGGCAGGTAATTCAATTGATGCAAGTTAAGCCAATTTGGCAAGCATTTTGTTATTGACTTGGAGTTGCAAGAATCAATACAGCCTTAATTTCTGGGTATATTTCTGGGAGGCACAGACCCCTTTACCAAATGGGAGACGATCATTCATGTGAATTAAAGTTAGACCCTGCCTAGGGTCTCAACGGTTAATCACCATTCGTCTGAGGAAGGTACTCTCCGGTATGGACACACCTCGCACCCCAAACAAAAGACCTTGCCAGGGCCATTATGTCCGATAATGATATTGCAATTACTGCTGGAAAGAATACACTCTCAATAGCAGGACTCAAATGGAAAATTGGACTGGCGGCTTTTTTTCCTTCTCACTTCGGAAAATGGGAAAAGAACAGATATGAAAATGGCCCCGCACTGCCGAGGCCTACCATCAAACTGGGATAATGGGAAAGGCCAGAATATAATGGGGACCTTTCCGTGCCATTTAGTGCCTAGGTGCCCCACTCGTGATTTCCCCACTTTGAAATGAACTAGCCAATTCTGGCTGGATGCTTCATGCCCCCATTTCCCACAGATTAGGGCAGGACCAGCACACGGGCAGCGAATGGTTGGGTTCTGACTGGTGTGCAAAACAACATATTACTCTTTCTCAAGTAGTTGTAAGGTTCTGTCCATATCGGCCATGCAGGGAAGGGGGCATCAATCGAAAGACTAAAACCATGTGCTCCTCCTATCCATAACTCTGGCTGGCACAAAATGTCACCTGGAAATTCAACCCAATCTTTACTAACTACAAAATTGGCTGAACCAGGGAAAGAAGTCACTCATTCATACAGAGAGAGAGAACTGTGATGTTTACTGATGGCAGTAGATTAATGAAGGGTCATGATGTAATGTGGAATTATGTACAAAAGGACTCAGGTCACCTATTCAACCTGCCTAACGACCTAGCGAGCCCCGAAACAGTCATTGTCAGACAGGGCTGACAGGTAAATTTGGTTATTAAACTTGTGAGACGGAATAAAGGCAGTGTGTGCTTACAAATAAATTTTCCTTGACAGGAACCAAGACAACACCTGGGGGGAGGGCAGGCCTACAAAACCTGGGCGGGAAGTGGGTTTGGGCCTCCCGACCACAGTTTGCCTGGTTACTGGGTGTCAGGCAGCGGGCAGAGAGGTGACATGACAGTTCCCAAGCAGACACTACTTGCCATCTGCCCGGCTGGAAACAGACCGGTAACAGCCCTCCAGACTTGATTAATCCTGAGCCCCAATGCCCCAGCCAACTTTAAATGATCCGGCTTGGGGCCCTGCACAAACTAACTAGCAACACAACACAAGCGTTGCCTGCATTTCCACTTCATTTCCCTGCTGGAGGGGTAGGCTCTTTTTCTTACTTTCGGCCCCTGCACACTCATTGTGTAAGGTCTTTTCAATTGCTTCTGGCCCCTCGCACACAACAACAGACGCCTGTTTGCATGCACTTTGTATATCTCAAGGTTCATCTGACTACGGGGTTGGCATCCCTTGTTGGGGCAGGGGGACCAATGTGTCATCCACACACAGCAGCAAGAACCGGTGGTAGTATAGTAAGTACAAACCTGTTGTTGGCACATTTATTTGGGGACACACAAGTTCAACTGCACTATTATTTTGTGGTGGCGGAGATAGGGCTCCAGAGGGCACCCCGGAGCTTTGGACGTCCCGCACAAAAAAAGTCTCCACAATGTGTTGTTTTTACCAGGGGGGACAAAACTGGATTTTTCATTAAGGCATCGTTTGGTCCTGACTAGTCAAGCAGAAGGTGCTGTGTTCCAGGCCTTTCATGTATAAGACAAAGACCCGACAAATCTAGGCCTAATAGACTGGGACTAGCCAGTAAAAGAGACAGGCCATTAAATTGAAAAGCGGCTACCGTCCTACAAAAGGAGTCCCACTACTGTGTGCAACTCATTTCTGGCGCTGAATGAAGCAGCGTCCACACAAAGCCACTCACAGATAGCAGAGAGGACAGTCGCCACAGAACAATGGCCACAGCAATTAACCATGATTTTCAAATAAAATGGCAATTTGGCGTGAAAGCCACACCGGAATAGTAGGGCAACAGGAAAGCTGCACACCTCTCCGCTGACAATCTGCTACGAGAAAGTCCCACTGTAGACGTGTAAGCTAAGCCCTGACAATGTGTGTTCGGGAAGTGTTGGAACATACTTGGAACACTACCCAAAACAAGCTGCCATCTGACCCTGTGTATTGTGTACCTTTCCAACACTCTCTTAATTCAAGATCCAACAAGCGACAGAAATATTACACAACCTCCATAATCATCGTGGCTAGCAGCTAAATGAAAATGATGAACTTCTAAAGTAGGAACATACATAGATAGTAAAGCTTTCGAGATAAAAATCAGTGCAAACTTACCTGGTCGTGTGTAACACTTGACTCTTGTTGACCGTCACTCGACGTAGACCCGCTTTTGGTCGGCCCTGCCGGTGCACCATCCCTTTCATCTATCACGAGGTCTATGGGCATTTTCCCCTTTAGGCAACTAATGTAGCGGTGGCAGAAATTGTCACAGAGTTCGTGAACCTGAAACAAAGAGAGGAGAGGACACGCGGTTTACTCCAGTGGCTGACAACATGCCCGCCTACAGGGCCGGGGATGGACACCTCCCAACCACCCAGGCCTTCCCTCACAAAACAAAAAAACGGCACCTCGCAACTAGGGGCAATTTACGTGCCTTCAAGTTGAGACAACATGGCGGTTTAGGGGCCAAGGTACACAGCCATTTATTTGAGGCCGTACGTTACAGGTTTGTGTGCCTCCCGTTACACAGCAATCAAATAAAATCCCAGGTCATATATACTACATCCATCCGTTTGACATTCCCTCCTTAGCCCACGCTGAAACGGTAAAGCAAGAGGTCGATTCCTGTCCATAACTCTAAAGCCATAGTGGCTCCTGCCATATCATGATTGATTCCTGTTGTGGAACCAGCCTATCCACTGATCAAGCCCACTACATAAAGTCAGCACAATAAATAATTTGGCATAATGCACATAAAGTCGGGGATGGCCACAGTCCTTGAGCCAAAACGGCCCCAAACACAAGCAGACATGCAAATGTCCCCCAGCATAATAAAAACTGCTGGGTCCATAAATCTGGTCCTAGTCCCTACTGGGGGAATTATCCCTGCCCCTAAACAAATAGGGCAAGCAGGGGAAAAAGGACTGCCTACTTCCAACCCACTGAGTGCCCTTTTAAGGCTAATGTGCCATCTAAACAGATTAAGTATTTGGCCCAACAACACAAGCTATTTCACAAACAACTGTACCCACACACACCCCTGTGGCCGGAGTGTACCTACGTAAACGACCCACTGTCAGTTTTTCCCTGATATCCTCTAATGACCACTATACATCTTCCCAAATATAAATTTGTGTCTGGGGGATGCTCTACCTAACCACCAGGTCCTGTCCACCAAAATCCCCCCACCGAGGCTAGTAAGACGCCTATCAACACAAATCTCCATCAACCCAGTCCTAAATATTTTCTCCGTCCATGTTTCATATTTTTAGTGGGCATTTTTATGAAGCTATGTCTAGCTGCCAAGGACATGATGGTTTGTGGCCTGGCGGTGTGTGCGGATCTGAATGAAATGCCACTACCGGGGTTACTAACCCTCTCAGCTGGCACAACTTTTCAATCAAACCGATTCAAATATTTTGAACACCAACAGTTCCCAGTTTTGTAACCATTTCATACAATCATTCATGCCATGTGTTCTAAAACAGTTGTGGTGAAAAAAAGAAACATTGGCGACAAACCTTTTCTAGCTCTAGCAAGTGGAATCGCAGGACCTGGATGGCTTGAATCATCTGCAAAGAAGGGCGACATGAAGACAAAAAAGTCAGGAAATAATTGCATTTATTGTTAACAAAACATGGGTCTTAATACCCATGTTGATGTTGAGAAACCTCAGTTCTGTTACATGCCTTGAAGAGGGGCATATTTACTACATAGAGGGCACGAACTCCCAGGACTGAAAACACCCAGGCATGAATTACATTAGCCACTACATGATATTTGACATATATGCATGTACTCAATCGCAGCGTTTAACACAAGCAATACGAAGTTGTGCGAATGCTTACTGGGTTAGAAAATCAAATCAACTGTGCTAGGTTTCTAGGGGCTTACCGGACCAACCAGGTTCAAATATTGCAATATGTATGAAGCCCCTCGCACTGTTGGAAAGCATGCAGAATTCAACACTAGCCACAACAAATACACCTTGCCCGAGAAAAAAATTATTGACGTTGCGACGAAACTGACAAGAAGTGCAGAAACTGACGCATTGTAACAGACAACAGTGTGTCTATTTCACAAATGAAAACGTAACTGCTTGTAGCAAACGGTAAATCTCCGTTCTTTTTCAATAAAATCGATATAAAGGCTCGATTCCTGCGCGCGATGGGAAGCATCGCGCCACTTGACAACATCATAACAATACACATGCGGAGGGTTCTTCGACAGTAGGTGACAATAAAGCATCCAGCTGATAATGATGAATATCTGAAGGTGTACGTACCAATCCGTCCAGTTCGGGGTTTGCTGAGAAAAAGGGTTTTTCTGCTCTCGCCTGCATGGCAAACAGAAATGGTAATCAGTACCGCCTCAGAAGTGACCGCCCGTGTTTTATCGCAAGTCGGATATCTCAGCACGATTTAGACAAAAATTACAAAGTGAATAAAAGGGCCGAGTGGACGTAACGACATCCGACTCCGAAAACAAAGGCAAACTTTTTCAACATACACAAGCATGGCGGGTATAGTGGCTGCTCTAAATGCCGCGGCCGGCTTGCAAGCAAGCACACACAAACACGCATACGTTCACATGAAATCTTAACTGGAAAACTATGTGCAAAGCTTCCAAAAGCCCGAGCATTCACAGGCCGCCTAATTGGTATGATAAGCAAGTATCGGGCTCAGAAATCTGCGTCTTTTTCTCAAGGAATAATAGGCAGTAATGCGCCCTTTGATACCTGCGCTTACAGCGGCATATGATCGTGTTTAGGGGCGAGTTATCGCACTAGATCCGCCAGCTTGCAAATACAAATTACTTCACATTCATGAGGACAATCATTACGCCAAAAAACAACAGACAATAATCCGAGTTACAATAAACTACGCAATCTTGTGAAATGTAGACGATATAGAAATGCACAATGGGATCAAAAACCTCACAAGGCAAAAAGGAGAGAAAGAGGATGAAAAATAAGTTGGTTGTTTTTACATTGAGTACCTGCTTGGCGAACACTGCGATGTCTTCGTTGAACGATTCGGACGAGCACACGTCCCCGCCCGCTACTCCCGGCTCTCGTGGGGTGCATGTGGCCAGTTCGCACTTCTCGAAGACCAACGCAAGAAGTGGGAAGAGTGGATGCCTGTACGGGACACCGAAACATCCTCAAATTAGAGTGAAACTGTATACAGTCCCATCCGAGGCGGCCATTTTGAAATGGACATAAAAATTGGCAGCATGTATATTTCATACGAGATTGATCGTCTGTTGCAATTCGTTTACAAACGGGCATCAATGATGAAATATATAGCAAATTATATAGAACTATCGCTGCCGACGACGCCATAAAATGTACTACGACATGTCCATTAGGGTTGCTGTCAGCTTGCATTGGCGGGCCACCAGGTGGGGGGACCGTTCGGGTTCAGTCCGTTCGGCGGGACCAAGCGCCACCGTGCAGCGGCAGCTCGACTTCCTGATTCCCGCGTGAGCACACATGTGCGCTACGGGGACGGAGAGAGGGTAGCGTTACCGATCCTGCGGCCCCGGAGAAACAATTTTTAGCCGCGGCACAAAACTTACCCGTAGATGGCGTCCTTGTCTCGTTTATGCTGGTCATCCTGAGGACTGGACATTACCCCTGTCATGACGGAGTGCGCGGGGTGCGACGTCGGAAACTGGTGCATGCCGTGCCCGTGGTTCATCTGTAGCGGGCCGGGGTCCATGCGATGGGCGTGGGGGTTGCCGTACATAGACGTGGCGACGGCTGCCGCTTCCATGGCCCCGGGGTAGTGTGGAATGGCCGCGTCATACTGTAGCAAAAGGCACACGGGGACATACACACATGTAAGTAAGCAACGCACACAATACCTGTCTCACATGGCAGAACGGTTGCACTCTGAACCCTTCCGGGGCACACACAAACACATCGCCCCGCCATCCATCCACACTCTCGCTGAATTTCCAAACTTCAGAACTCGCTAGCATGAAACTGCACCTACCCTTTGCGCCATTTGACCGCTGCAGATCCCCTCTGACGTGTAAACTTAGCCCGAGAGCCGTCCCTGCTTCGCGCCTTTGATTTCAACTGCCTTGTTACTCGCTCTGTCAGTTTGAACGTACCGGGGACTTAAGCTTACACAAGAATGTCAGGCAACAGAAGGAAATGAATGTCGGCCCGTCAACAAGCGCCTGTAACAAAACTGTCGTGTCTCGTGGCTTTTTGCCACTCAAGCTGTCAATCAAACCGCGGTTGTCATAGTACTGAATGACTGATGATCTGTCATGAACTTTGGGGTTTCCAGCAAAATGCAAACTACCGAGCGCTGTGCAGCGCCCCCGCGGCCCGACCGGCTTTTTTTCTCGATACTTTCCTCAACGACACGAGGTCTGACCACGTCGAAACGCATATGACACGAAAATCGCTTAGTCTCACACTCAGAAGCTCTCTCTACGACACACGGAGGCTCTTCGAAACAAAGGGTTACAAGCCGAAATGATCAGTAAATAGACCCCGTGTGTACAATGGGACGGGTACAACACGCCGGCGGGGGTGGCCGCTTTACCTGGGGGAAATTTTATTCCGCGGTCTTCCCGCGCTTTTTCATACACTGGGCACCCAGGGAGCCTCTCTTCTTTCATAAGCGTCTAGTCAGGGGACAGTAAGTAGACTATCAGCCTCACAGATTTGCTGGGTAATCAAAAATGTCGCGTTCTGTGGCGCTACCCACTTCTGTGACAGCGACGCTCAAATCAATTTTCCACAATGGGAATGCTTATGATAATTTCGTCAATTATTTGCCGGTAACTTCGTGGAGGAACCCTCCCCGGACTTTCTGTTTGTTGAGCCGGTGACCGGAAGATATTAGGCCAAATCGGAACACGTTGTCACAGCAATATCGTTCTCCAGCGACATCATATTCGACATATTGTGGCGGGATGATTTCACTTCCGCATTGGCGAGACCAGGCTTCCCTCCCCCGTTTCGTGCAATGCGCGCCCACTCCGCTGGCGGGTGGGACCGCCCAGTCTCGCTGCAGCGGGCAATTTACGTCTATCAACCAATGGGATCCTCCGAAAATCGCCAGCCGAGCTAATATACACAAAACACTCAATTATCTCAGTTTCATTCTATCATCAATCACTGCTCCGAGTGCGAGGTGGGGGCGGAGCGCTACACCTCCACGGGCCGAAGGGGCCCCGCGAAAAGCAAAGATAAACAAGCGGGGCAAAACCTTCGGCGGAGGGGACACGGCGGGCCGGTCGCCGGGCCAAGTCCTACCGGGTCGCCCTGGTAGGTGTGTGCCGAGAAAAGTTTCCGAGTTTTTACAGCGGTTTTTATTTCGGATTTCCTGTCGTATATTTTATTTCTTTATGACAAAAAGGAGCCCTCTTCTTTTCCCTTGCTAGCATAATAATCCTGTCGCAGCTAGGTCGATGCCTGCCTCTATTTCCCTGGGACTAGGGAAATGCTCGGGCTGGCTGATATACCCTCCGAGTTTTGATGATGAGCGTGCAATCGCATCATGCGCTCGGCTCATTCAACCGCGCCAGAGCAATAATATTCCTGTGATAATGATTGTGACAGCGACGCTTCAGTGCCTCGAGCTGAATATAGATACATACATGGCGAAAGAGATAATGATAGCGGTGATGATGAAGATAATGATGCCGACTCTACCAACTCTCGCCTGTCGCATGTCATATTTCCCAAGACCTTGCTTCCCGTCATAAAAATCTCGGACACGAGTAAAAAAAAATCCTACCAGCCCTTAAACGTCAATTTAGCCCAAGTGGCTGTCTTTTAATAAACATATTATGGAGCAATTGCTGCAGGAAGAAAGACTAGATTGAATGAGAATTTTGAGCAAGCGTGAAACCAAATATACGATATCGCTTTAGAATGTTGATCGCAAGGGAGATAGAAGACGTGCGGGAGTCGTTTAGATGAGAAGGGGATAGGTGCCGGGGTACTGGAGGAAAAGAAATCGTTACACAGGGTGAATGTGACAGTAGGGAGCTGCGAGTGCACGAGCCTGACACAATGTACACAACAGGAAAAGACAACTTGTCACATGCGATGTGCACGAATAAAGAGGACCCCGCGGAAAAGCACACTTTTATGTACATACGCATCTAGGCATTAACTTCCAGTTTTATGTCATGATTTTCTGCGGTCGATGAGAAATAATTCCAGCACATCAGCGATGCCTATCAAAGCGGGCTCCGGAGCCACCATTGATACATATCGGCCGGTAGATTTTCCCTGACAGATTTGTGGCCATCATATAATATCAAGCCTGGCCAAACGACCCCGGACCGCGAATTTGAAATAACTCTCTCAGTTCGTGGCAGTGGAGGCGGACAGCCAGGCAGGGTCGGCGCACGGAGCATGCAGGCATGCACGGTGCAGTGAGGACAGACACGAAGGTAAGGACGGCTGGAAGGGCCCTCGTGCGGCTTACGATAGATATGTGTGGTGGCTGGGGTTTTCCCGCAACTCTGGGAAGGGATGGGGCGGGCTGACATGGTTAGGAACATGCTGGGAAGATGTCTACCGTATCGGGGACTACGGGGTTGAGGTGTAGTGATAGTATGTATGATTATTTCCCCACCTGATGGCTCGATGCCACGTCTTCGCTGTAGTAGGGAGCGTCGTAGTAGCTCTGCTGGAGATACTGGTTCATGCTTCTTCTTCACGTTGTCGTCACGAGTCTCCAGTTGTGTGTGGTGAGTGTGGCCAGCGGTGGTGACAACGACTCCTCAGTGCCGCGTGTTGTTATACACAGTAAGTAAGTCCGAAGGAGCGCTGGGAGGAGACACCTAGTGTTGTAGGTAGTAGTCGTGCCGAGGTACTACTAGGTCCCAGTCGCCGTGGCTCGCGCCGAAGACGTCCGTGTCTGTTAGCCCAGCCGGCCAACTCCTCGGGGTTCCACACGTCTCAGGAGGACTCTTGGCTGTCGAAGAATATCGGACGCAACCTAGAAGGCGAACAAACGTCGGAAGGATTAAATCAAACGTCGTCTACAGGCCGAGCTCTATCCTCCCTTAATCATGTGTCATCGCGGATAAATCTCGGGCTCTAATAGACGAATTACAGTCTTTATTATAAGAAGACTGTCGCTAAACTACCATTTCTAGCTGGCTGGTCCCCCTGCGACTAGCTTATTTTCTGGATGTCCACGTGACGTCATTTCGACTGCCGCAGGCAATGGGCCTTACGGGAAAGCGACTCCGGAGTCATTAAATACTCCATTATGTATTGTTGAAGATGGTTTTATGGCGACAGCCAGACAAAACTAATGATACACCCAATTGCTGAGAAAGGAGTAAAGCCCGGCGCGAACTTTCGCACCAGCAGATCGGAAAATTGGCAACTTCGCTCCCCCGATCGCATTTACCCGAAGTGTCCGTCCCGCCCCTTTCTGTCAGCGAAGGTGCTAGCGCGAAACGCTCCCTGGACGGAAAGTAGTTTTTGGTGGACTGGACAAACCTTCCTCCTCTACTACCCACCGGTAGCCGTGCACGCTGCGTACGGCCCGAGTGCTCTGCTCGCGGTGGTATAACGACAAAGCCCGGAAAATGGACGACGGAGGACCTTGACCCTGCTAAACAGTCCCCTCTAACCTTGTCTGCGTCTGACAGGCTTTCTGCACCTTTTTACTCGGACATAAATCTACCTGAATGACAAGAGATCGCGAGCTTTTCTCCCTCCAGGCTGCACTGTGCTCTAATAAGACAATATGTCAATAATTTTCGCCGAGACTTTCCGTCATCGATTTTTGGGGAGAGAGAGAGTTGTGGTGGTAGCCTGTTTCTCAGACCCTCTCGATCACTCACGCCATCCCTTGCTCCCCAAGTAATCACCGTGACCGCTTCCGTCAACACCTCTGCTACCTGCCGCCTGCCGAGCCTGCCTCCCTGCCTGCCTAAAGCACCAGCACATCGCCGCCTTCCTAACTTAAGCCTTGTCAGTCCCAGGAGTGAAGAACCTCCATGAATGCTTAATTGCCGGTGTGACTTAGGAATAACGCAGTATTACGTATATATAGATAGATGCGGGCATGTCGAGTATTTCTGCTGCCAGATTATCCCGACGGTCAGATTACTATTGACGGGGTGCACACGGTTTGGTCTCCTCGCGGACGCACGAAGCCCTCGACCGCGGGGCGCAGACCTACCTGCCCTGGGTGTCGGCACCCCCACCGCGTCCGTGCCGGCTAGCCGAACTTCGGAAAAGCTTTTCGCCCAAGTACTGTACGGTGAAGGAGGGTTGTTCCCTGAACTCGTGTGGCGTACGGTACGCGAGATGTACTATCTGCCGCTGCCGCTCCCCGCCGTTTTGCACTGACACTGCTTTGCAAATCGACCGCTTGCTATCAACCGTGCCGGCGAGCACCCATTCATCAAATGACAGGGACGAGCGCATCCCTTCCAAGTAGCGACATGCAAACTCCTCGGCTTTGCGTGTTCCTATAGATGGGACGAGCTATCACAATTGGCAGGTGGCTAGCGATCAGTGCTTTTCAAAGAAAAGAAGGAGAGCGGTATCCCCTATAACTTCCCTAGCCAAAGGCAGCGAAGTCTACGTTTACTTTCAACCCTACCCTGTTACCATATGACAGGGCACACACAATACTTCAGACATGGCTCCTCCAGCATCTTTTTGACAACTTTGTGTAAACTTTTTTTTTCTTTTGATTTTCAAAGCCGCCGCCCGGATTACCGTGTAGCAAGGATTGCCCCGAAGGAAGAGGAAACAGTAGGGATGCTATCACCGGTCTTCTGACGTCTTTTTATAGTTCTCTGTCAGCGCTATCTCTTAGTCCGCATCTCTGCGGCGACGGCGACGTATTTTACGATCGTTTGTAACGAAAGTGACGTGAGGACAGTCCCCAGGGGCGTTTCCCGCCCGTGAGGGGCAGTCCTCGTTCTTGTTCTTGTCACTCGGCGTAGCTCACGCCGCGGGCAGGCGGCTGATTGGAGATGACAGGGGCCGTCAGGACCGACGGGGTGGCCCGGTGATGCATGATGGCGGGCGCATCACACACGCGCGCCAGAGCTAGCGAGCGGCAGCGTCTCCGCGCTGACGCTGTCACGGCGCGGTGTGCGTGTGTGTGATTAACACTTGCCGTCAGCGCGCGCGGCAGCGCCAGGACGCGAGGGGGAGTTCCGCCTGTCACCGACCATGATGGGGACAGATTGCCGCCGGCTCGCGCTGGCATTTACCGCGACACGTCCTCCGGGGACCGGCTTCGCCTCGTCCTTCAAGGCGACATCCAGGGAAACGCTAAGGAAGTTTGACAGGACGTCTTATTTTGTTTGACGTGTCATAAAGAAAACCGACGGCGACGGGCCCTGACAAGGCCCGCGTCACGCTGTCTCACAGGACCTTTGTCCGATACAAGAAGCGAGATGCCCATGCGCGGGACATTAAACTCATTTTATAGCAAGTTTATGTTATTTGCTCTGGATTTGCTGGTGATCTAATATTAATTGGAAATAAATGCCATG